AATTTGTTACAACAGCAGAACTTCTTATAATTGATGTAGATGACGCACGTGCGCTCCGGTTAAATTTGCGGTCAAGGGATTCTTCTTTTTTATGTTTATAGAATTTAAAACTTAGATATATCATATAATTGTATCCAAAATAAAATAAAATAAATTCAAATTAATTGTTTTTAAAATAACTCTGATTTCACGATTTCACCTAGCGTAATGATGACGCTACAAAATAATCTAAAAACTCAGCGCGAAAAGGCTTCTCTCTCTCTCTCTTAATTTCGGGTAGGGCTGTCAGATTGTATGTAAATATCTCGTGTTCAGCTCATGAAGAAGCTTGTGTTCGATTCGTTCATTAAGTTAACAAGCTGAACAAGAATTTTTTTTTGGCGCTCGATTTAAAAACGAGCTGAACACAAATAAAATTTTTTTCATCCGTGTTAAGCTCGTTTTGACTCCAAATACTACTCATCAATTATATATAGAGAGAGAGAAAGAGAGAATTTTTACGTATTTTTAAGAGAATTAATTGCTTACAAGACTATAAAGATTTATAATAAATTAAAATTATTAATTAAACAATAAAATAAAAATATATTAAATTATATTTAAATAATATTTAAATATAATTTACCAGATTTAAATCTTGCCCAAGCTGTTAATATCATACGACTGCGTGATTATGACTGTCAAAACAATTTTTTGTTCACAAATAGGTTCTATTCAACTCGCTAAACAAATGAACCGAACGCTAACATATTTTTTGTATGTAAAATATAAATGAATCGGATACAAACAACAATATTTTTTTTGAGACGTCGCTTTGCTCGCTCTTATTTGTGTCGTTTAAGCCCCTAATTTCGGGAGATTTCGGAGGGGTTTTTCGTCATTCGTAAATAAAACGTGACGACTGCACTGACCGTCGCTAGTTTAAAACTTATGCAGGGCGTGTAATTGGAAACCTCATTCTTCAGAGATCTCAGCGCTCCATTCTCGCCCATCAATTCTTCGTGATATTTAAAGTACGTGTTTCAAGAAAAATGTGAAGTTGTTATAGTAATTTATTGGGACCCACTCGTGTTAGCCTGCTGGAGTTGATGAACTGGAATAAAAAATCGCATCTTGGCGTTAGATTGGAGAGATGGCAGTGATATCTATTACCAAAAGGCCACTTATTAGTTGGGCCCACGGAAAAGGAAGCATGCTTAGCCTTTGGTTGCGGGCCCATTACTGCTGGATCCATACATCAGTCAAAATTTGCAACTTTGGTCCGAAATATAACGTAAATAAATCATCTTTTTTCTATTTCTCATAAGTATTTCTATTAATAAATTTAATTTTTTTAATAATGAAATAAAAATAACTTTGATATTACTGAAAATAGTCATATTTGAATTAAATGGATCGTCGATGTACTTTCTTTCACTACTTGAGATGTTAAATCTCAATATATTCATCAACATATTACTTTCTATTATTTTGTCCAATTTTTTATAACTTCTATTTATGACGATATTAGTGTCACTATTCGAAATGTTATTTGAAATTATATTATTTTATATCGAAAATATGACCACATGAATCTTGAGAAAATTCATCGAATATCGTTAAGAAGGTATTAAAGGATTGCATTGGAACATTAAAAGATAGAGGCGTTAAACATCGTTTCATTTGGTCGGAATCATGGGCCGACTGATTATAATATCTTATCAATTCTCTATGAAGACATCTTCTACGAATGAAAGCTGCCCATCAAATTAATATTAACACACCCTCTACCTGATGGTTTAAGTTCATCCTAACGATAAGAAGGTCTCTACGGCGAATCTCATCGAGAAGGGCGACCGAAGACATTCAATTGAACGAAGAACTTTCAGCCGACCAAATGCCTTACAACCGATCAAACGATTATCAGACGACCGAATGCTAACATCTATAAATTATTAATAACCCATTTCAAACACTTATGAACACGAAATAGTGCCAACAACAACTACAAATATTAAATAATCCTAGAATTTGTTATAAATATGTAAAAATGTAACGGTGCATTAATTACTTGCAACGTTCCTATTAGGACATGGACAAATATGTAACTTATAAGATCCCCCATAGAATTTATAATAGGGGGTCAATTCTTCCAGAAAAGGACTACGAAACCAATTCTAAGAGAACTTGTGTTATTGTGCAATCTACTTCTCTTTCTTTCTTTATTCCTCTCACCAGTCCAACACTCAGTTTACCCTTGGTTTTTGGAGCAATGATTTTGGAACCAATGTAGAAAGTGAGGCCCACAATGCATGATAAGAAAATTACCCAAACACGTAGATCATACCTCATCGGAGCTAAGAAAACACTGATATGAACCTTTGGCAGCTTCATGGAGTGGCCAAAGGTGATTTCCGAGTGTAGCGGGGGCACTTCGGTGATTTTTCGGTGCAAAGGGGCAAGCTGGGAAAAATGTTGAACTGTCCCCCCAACTAATGTTATAAAGGGTCTTGTGTAGGTGTGTCATGATCCCGATGCGGGTGCAGCTAAGTAATGAAAATGAGTGCAGGGGCACTGGGGTGCTTAGGGCGCATGGGAGGTAGATGGTCTCGGGCGCAATACTTTCCGGGCACAGGTGTGCTGGATCCAACTTAGACTCATCATGTATTATGCTCGCTCTGTCCCAGGCCATGTTGCGACAAAAAGGGAAGGGCAGGCATGCTGAGGACGTAGCACATGTGCACCTGAGTAGCATGGGGATGCCTAATTTGAAGCAAGTGGCCGTTGTTCCATGGCAATCCAATGCAAGTGCGATTGGTTTGTGGCGCGGGAGTCAACACCGACAAACTTTTCACTTGTTAAAACAAACAAAGAGTCGTTATAGAAAAACAATTTAATCATAATGAACCTTTTCAACATACCCAAGTATTGATCTATTTATGACCATATGTAGGAAAGACAACTCTGACCAGGACCCAATGGGACGCCCGTCAGATATGCCCCAAAGCCCCAAGTCCAGAACCACAATTGGTCCAGACTTGTCAATAAGGCCCAGTTACAGAACAGATGCCTAACCTTGGGGAGCTCCAACAACTTAACCCTGAGGTGGTTCTGTCCCATTGAATGTTCAACTGGAAAATCATGGGGCACCATAGGGGCTGGAGTCAAAACAACAACAGACAATCCACCTATCCTAACTCCTTCCTGTTGGTCAACGAATCTGATGACCCAACTTCATTGTTGTCCACTATATGTCTTTTCTTTGATGCCAACTACTTCTTCCACCTTACCCCTTTAGGTTGGGTCATATCCTTCGTGCTCTTTGTCCTCACGAGCTTTTTCACAACCTTGGGGCAACTCCCTTTGAAGGCCCCCTTTAACACATCCTCGTTAAAATTGTCCAACAAAAATTTCTTGCTGCTCTCCAAGGAAACTCCCTCAAAATCAGCTGATCAAATTGTGCATTTGAGAAATGTGGATGACTAAGACGTCCTCTGTGTTCTATATATAGAAGGCCATGGAGATAGATATCCAATGACTTCCATTTTTAAAGCACTGATTTTAACATAAATTAATATCCCACGGCCATGTTTCTCAATTTAACATCCATAGAAATAGGGTCGCATATGCACGATTTCTTTTTAGTGTTTTTTAAGCTATGTTGACCTTGTTTTAATCTCTTTAGAAAATTAAATTTAAATGAAATATTAAAATTTTAAGTTAATTTTGTTTAAAAATGTTATTCAAAATTTATGTAATATTTTATGTACCTATTAATTTTTTAAATTGGGCTTTAATTTTGATGTAATTAATGCTATTGATTTTAATTAATACTATTTAATATTTCTTACTATTATTTGCAATTATCAAGTACAAATATTAAAGATAAGTACATATGTTATTAAATAAATGATGAATTATTATCTTTAAGAACATGCAACGTGCCTAGTAAATATAGTAATTTATAGAAAACAATAAAAAAAAAATGAAACTAATGCCTCTTATGTATGCTTAAAATGACATCAGCCTCAAGAGTGTAATGATCATTGAGCTTGAAGTAGATTGTTCACATAGATGATGCTCTATTGTGTCTTCAACAATGACCTCCCTCTTATTATATGTTGTGACTACTTGGATTTGTATCATTTCTTGTTGTAGCTTAGGTTGCGACGAAGTTAGCATCCAATACAATCTCGATAATGTGATACCAAAGATATTTGGTCATATGGCACCCCAAAATGTAAAGGTAAGAACTTAAATGACGTCGTATGTAATTGTGTAAAGTATCATAACAACCCCAAGTCCAGAAGAAACTAGGAGGATGACACACATATTAATTGGATGTAAAAAGATTGTATCTTTACCTCTTCCAAAAAAGGAAAGAGCTATCCCTCATTCTCCAAGAAATATGTATGTTATGAAATCAAAAATAATACTTGAAAAATATATGAATAAGTACATGAACTTCCTTGATAAAATATAAGGATTATATCAACGTAACATCACCCTCTCTAATCTGGGTAATAATTTATGAGTGGTTCTATTAATGACATTAATATATATAATTATGCTCATGACTTATACCATCGCATGTATCATCTGAAGTATCTATTATTATCACCAAAACACAACCTTGTAAGTGCACTCAATAATGTGTTAACATATAAGTATGACTTGGGTGTACTAACTTGCGACTTGAACCGTGCATGATTCAACTATTTGAAGTATAATTTATATGTTATATTGCTCCAAGATCACTTGTGCATTATCTCATTCTATTAGTTTTGTTGCATTCAGTGCAACACAATATATTAAAATTCAAGACTAAGCAAATACACAAACTTAGCTTTGTTGCAAAGCATTAATCTTATCCCAAAAAACTTGAACCACAAATTGAAGCATCTCTTGTAGATTATTTTTTGTTCCACCTATAGATGCCACAGAAGCTCATTTCAAAATGTATGTTTGAAAAAAATTAGTAAATAAGTGCATATAATATTATATTTATTATATGTACCTATGTTCCAGACTCTTACTGTTATCCTGATGCCTTCGTTCTTGACTAGGAATGTGATGGGCCACTCCTTGAGTTTCAACGGGTACAAAATATCATATAAAGTGGTGCCCTTGTGAGATCACATTATTAGAATTATAATATTACAGTAAAACATATATATATATATATATATATGCACCCCAAAAATGTAAAGGAATTAAGATGGTTTGCATGATGAGAAGCACATAATCTTACAATACTGAGGTTGGCCGCTTATAGAAGAATATCCCGGGAAAGACTTCTGCTTCCTCTCTCCATTATATAGAATAATATGAATATAGATGTTAGAGAGATGAATATAGCTTTTGCAGAAAAACATACCTGGAATGACTTCTTCTACAAGAGGCCAAACCAACATTGAACAATGTCAGAACCTTAGAATAAAAAATGTAATATAAAGTTTAGCAGATTAATTTAAATGGAATTAGTTACATGATAATGCATTACCTACTATTCTATGGATTATATGGATAAGTAGATTTATAATGACATAAAATTGCATACATATTTTAAATTCTATAATTGTTTAATGCAGATTCTTCGATTGTGCTTTTATACCATATAATGTGGGGATGATGTGATCTACATCTAAGTTTCGGCTGGAGAAGTTCTAACCCAACTTTGTGATGTGTTGTTAATTCTACACTATTTTTGCATTTAATATGATGATATTACACTTTGAGGAAGGTTTTTGTTAGTGGCAGTAGGAAAGAAGAAGAACATGAATCCAATTGGGCCAGAATGGAAATTGAAGCAAGAACTTGATTATTGGGAGCCTGGGTGCTTGGCCACTGGCGCTTAGGCGCTAGAAACATCCTAACACAAGCTGCTACCCGAGAGGCTGGCGCTTAGGCGCCCAATACAAGCTCCTACCCAAGCGGCTGCGCCTAAGCGCCCTATCTTGAATGTGACAATTAGTGCAATTTGGACTATGAGAAGAACGTGAAGAGATATCTAAGCTTTGACATTGAAGTGAAGGGGGCTCTTCGATCTCAGTCATTTTTTTGAGAGGGAAATTGAAGAAGAAATCCAAGGAAAGATCAATCAAGTTGAGAGAAATGAGAATTCGAGTGATTTAGCGTGATTGAATGCTTGTAATCTGAACTTCAATCATTTTTTTTAGATAAGTTTTGAAGTTTTATTTTATAATTGCTTTCATTTTTTTTGTAAGACTTGTATTGTTATTTCTCTTTCAATCAATTGATCAAGTTGGTGAGTTCAAACATGAATAAATTATCACTTCTTCCTTGGAATGGGGAAATAGGAAAGATGATGTGAAATTTTTTTTATAGATTTGCGTTGACTGATAATTGATGCTGATTAACTTGTTGCACTTCATTTATATTTCACTTTGGTCAAGTGGGGTATTGATATTTGTCATGAGTTACCAATTTCGGAAGGGTAATAGAATCGATAGAGTTAATCAAATTAATAGGTGGAATAAGAATATATCTACTAAATTAATGCAAACTTCTAAGAAGAGATTTGAGCATGGGTAAAAGGTTGGTATTAGGGAACTGCTTTAATTTTTAGCAACTTTTTCTTTTCCACTGGAAGGGCATAAGGAAGGTTTCTGCTTCTGTTTGTCATCCATATATTAAGTTAACTTTTTCATTTATTAACTAATTGAACAATTCCAAGGGAGTTCTCAAATACTTGAAGAACATTTTGTTTACTTTGTTGATAACTTAGAATTTTCTTTTACGACTTAAATGAAATCAACATTTATGGCTATGATCAATATTTATAGGCTACAAATTTTCTTAATTAGATTCATCTGGGATCGACAATCGGACTCTAATCCCGATACTACGTGAGCCGCCTTTGCTTTGCAGGATCAGGTTCGTGTCAAGTTTTTGACGTCATTGTCGAGGAACGACGGTGAATTTGATTTAGCAAAATTTTAGTTGAACTTTTAGGACTTAGACTTCAAAAATGTAGCATTTACTGTTTTCCGTTCTCTAATTTTTCTGTGTCACCTTGTAAAATCCAAAAATCATCCTGTTTTAAATTTCTTTGATTATGCACTTGTTTTGTTTCTTACTTTTATTTCCTACATAAAACTTCTTGTTTAGGTGTTCTTGATTTGGTAATTTATTTTGATTTTGTTGTTTTTGTTTGAATTGTCTATTATTCTCTTTAGCATAGGGATACTTTGCTAGTTGAACATAGTTAGTGTATGCATAGTTCAGGACCTTTAGGACTTATCCCTACAACCCTGAGTTAGAGAGAACTGTTACAAAAATCATAAAACTAAAAAGATGACAATAAAGTTAAGGAGAAATGGCTGACACACCCGATAACAATCCTAAACTCCATAATCAGAACAACATGCTTCGACCTTTAAGACTCTATGTCAATCCTACGATAGACCAAATCCATCTTAGTATCCACACCCCTGCCGCAAAAGCCAACACCTTCAAACTGAAGCTTGCTATCATCCAAATGATGCAGAATAATCAATTTGGGGGACATATTCTGATGATCAGGCTATGCTCTACATTTCGTTACAACGGTATCTCCAAAGATGTCGTGAGGCTCAGGCTTTTCTCTTTCTCCTTGAGGGATAAAACCAAAATGTAGCTAAACTCCTTAGCTCCTGAATCAATTAAGACTTTGAATGAGCTTGCCCAGAAATCCTTAGCAAAGTATTTTCAACCTTCAAAAACTGTCAAACTTAGGAACAACATTACCCCTTTTTGCCAGCATGAAGATGAATCTATTTATGAAGTCTGGGAAATGTTCAAGGAACTCTTTAGGAAGTGCCCCATCATGCTTTACCAGATTGGTTGATAAATTTAGATTTTTTATTATGGGTTAATAGGATCTCTCAGGTCAAGCATAGAAGCTACTGTAGGTGGTTCTCTTATGTTTAAACCTTTTAATGAGGCTTATTATTTGATTAAGAAGATGCCGACTAAAAATTTTTAATGGCCTTTTGGTCTAGTGAATCTTAGGAAGGTGGCCAACGTACATGACACAGATGTTCTTTCAATATTGACTTCCCAAGTAGCGGCTGTCTCTAGGAAGTTAAACCAGTTAGGGTTACTTGACACGCATTTGGTGCTGCAGAACACGGGGGGCTCATGCAAGTATATGTGGCGTATCAGTAGTATGGAGATTAGAGTCCGGTTATCGATTCGACAAGGAACGATAAAAGTCTAAGAAGAAAACTTTTAGCTTATAAATGTTGATCCTAACTTGAAATGTTGATTTAATTTAAGTTCTAAAAGAAAATTCTAAGTTGTCAACAAAAAACAAACAAACAAAGAGTTCAGGCATTTGAGAAAATCTCCATGAAATTGTTCAATAAGTCAACAAATGAAAAAGTTAACTGAATATATGGATGAAAATCAGGAGCAAAAACTCTCCTTATCCCCTTCTGGTGAAATAAGAAAAAGTGGCTAAAAATCATATTAGTTCCCTAATACTAACCTTTAACCCATGCTCAAATATCTCCCTATAAGTTTGCATTATGTTAGTAGATATATTTTTATTCCACCAATTAATGTGATCAACTCTATCTATTCTGTTACCATCTCTTCCGAGATTAATAACTCAAGATAAATATTAACACCTCACTTAATGAAATGTAAATGAAGTGCAACAAATTAATCATCATCCATTATTAGTCAACACAAATATATAAAGAAACTTCCACATTCATCTTTCATATCTACCCATTCCAAGGATAGTATATTCACTATGCATGCTTGAACACACCAACTTGATTAATTGATTGAAAGAGAAATAACAATACAAAAGTTTTACAAAGAAAATAAAAGCAATTACAAAATAAAACTTCACAAATTATCTCCCTTCAATCCTGAGAAGTTGAGATTACAAGCATACAATCACACAAACTCTCTAAAATTCTCACTTCTCTCAACTTGATCGATCTTCCTTAGACTTCTCATTCAATTCCTCTCTCAGAAAAATGACAGAAGAAAATGTAATTGAAGAGTCCCCTTCACTTCGATGTCAAAGTTTATATATTTCTTCACATTTTCCTCGAAGTCCGAATTGCACTAACTGTCACTTTCAAGTTAGGGCACCTAGGCCCCCAGTGATTGCCAGAGTAAGAGTTTGTATTTGGCGCTTAAGCGCCAGTCTCTCGGTAACAACTTGTGCTAAGAGGTTTCTGACACCCATGTGCCAGTGGTCAAGCGCCTAAGCGCCCAATAATCAAGTTCTTACTTCAATCTCCATTATGTTCCAATTCGATTCCTGTTCTTCTCCTTTCCTGCTACCATTAACAAAAATAACAAAAACCTTCCTAAATTCAAAAATACATATAACAAGTGCAAAATTAACAACGCATCAAAACCCCCCACAAAGGGTTACTTATCTCTAAATATCAACAAAACAAAAGTATTAGACCATGTTGGACATAGGTGAAAAGAAATCAAATAAGTGACCACTTGCAATCAAATTTCCAAATATATAGTTTATAATGAAAAACTTCTATTGAATTATTCTGACACATGCTCTTCATAACTTTGAACTTCTTCAAATGTTATTCAATCGTATATTCACTCCAAGAGATTTAATAACTTGCTAAACTAATATAATCAAGATGTAAAATTCAAGAGAATTTAGTCCCCTATAAGATAATTTGTTAATAATTTATAAACATATAAACAAAATTAATTAAAAGAATGTTAAAAAAGCTTTTAATTTAAAAGAATAGTAGTAAAACCAATTTTTGTTAAAGTAGCTCAAGTTTTTCCTCGACGTTTTACATTTATAACTTTTTTCTTTTTCTTTTCTTTTCTCTTTAGTTCCGTGAGATGAATATTTTCAATCCCATTTCTTTTTAAATAATTATTTTTTTTTCATTCACATCCTAGAGGATCACTATATTTGGATTAGCCTTTAATAATTTTGAATTTTATTACAATCTCCTTAAACTAAAATACTCCAAGATCCCCTCTTTTAATTCAAGTCTTATAAATTATAAATTATTAAATTCAAATTCAAATAAAATGAAGGCTAAATTTTTCAAAAAGATCACATCTACTATCTACAATTAACTTACCTATTTAATTAAATCTTCTTGAAAATTAATTATGACGATTAAATAATTTGGAGAATTTTCAGAGAGCATTCTGCATCTAGATCAATTTATTTCAATAGGATTCTATTCCTGTTCGTTATAAAACTATGCTCCTTTTTCTATTAAGATTATTGTGGTTCCAAATTCATTTCATTCTAAATATGTCATCAAGTATCAAATTATAGTGTTTTGTTTA